ATCAAGTATACATGCCATGTTATGCAATCGCACCCAACAGAAAAATGTCTTATGATGTAAAGTGCATGCATATATCATATCATCCTTTCATATTCTTACCATTGGCTCATCATCATCATAACATTCATAGAACAAATGTGAGCAACATATCACAATTCCATACACTAGCCAATAGTCACAGAAGGTAATACCGCCTACACATACCTTGTGAGTCCAAGCATTATTCCGACAGCCAAATATCAATCAAACAATCCAATGAGCTAGGATCTTGCGCACCTAATCAAATAGATATATATATATATTCAATCAGAATTTATTTCATGACACCATATACATCACATAGAGTTCCCCGAGGTTTAGAAGTCTTTGCACCTAATTAAATCAATTACCAAACAGAATTTTGTTTTATTATTTCCTATACAACAAATGTAATTTCCACGCTGCCAATTCCTAAAGTTCCAACTGAAATGCCAAGCTTCAAATACTAAATTAATTCCTTACTTGATTGCTTTAATTTTTCCTCCATTGTTAATTAGTATCGAACTTCAAATTCCTTATGCATGTACCCTGGTTTTATGACCATCTCCTAGAGGCTACTAATTTATCATGTACCTCAATTAGCTATACGGTTTAGGGGTCATTAAGTGGCCTAATTCAAGCTGTCTACCCCTGCTATGGTACATAGACAGTTTGGTGTCAACCAGATATAATGCTTCCAATTGCTTATTATGTTACTGCCTACGTTTTATCCTAACATTCGTTAACAAGTGACAAAACTTCCAAGGAACCTACACATGCAGATTTGGTTTTAGGCTAGTAACTAGGTGCATAAAGTTTATTTACTAACATGACCCTTTTTCCTCAAGCTCAAGGGTACTTTATTAGACCTTTACATGTTGTCTACAAAATTATCAATACAATCAAGATAAAATTCCTTAATCTAGTTCCCTAATTGCTAATACTTGAAATTTTCCAAGAGTTCACCAACCAATTCACGTTATCATTTCTAAGATAGAATTTCCAGCAAGCCATTATCCAATTCAAGTTATTATATCCCAAAACAGAATTTTAGTCTATTCTTTGTCCAGAATTCAAGTGCATAAGATTTGTTTATTTCCATAGCATTTCCTATAGGGCGTATAAAGGCAGGGACAAGGTCTTACACAAGCTATACCTACAATTTTAACATCAGTAACGTTTAATCAGCCTTCATTACCCAAGGACCGGTTTCAACCATATTAAGGGATTAGGTTCCCAAGTTCCTTAAACATCAACTTCTACTTACAGAATAATTTCAAGGCCGTCCAAACAGAATTTAAAACATGCAGTGTTGTGTAATTATCTTTCTAATAACAGGGCAGCCAAACAATTTTAAGTGGCTAAATCCTAGTTCACAAAATTCTGATTGGGATTAACATGTACCACTCCTAGAACAGTTTATGGAACAGAATCAATGTAAGAGAAATTACCAAAATGCAATGTCCTCCTTGTTAACCGTGAGTGAACCGAAAGGTGAATGGAGGATGATGCAGAGTTATTCTAGGTGTTCCTCCTCCAAGAAGCCTTCGGTTTTGAGGGGGAAGGAGGCTGAGTTTGGTCTATAAATAAAATGATAGGAGTGCAGCCTTGAAGTTCCACCAATATCGCACAAGGTTGATGAGGCTGGCTTCAAGTCAGCGAATAGAAGAATGAGGAATGAGAGAATATGGTTCTTGTGTTGTTGTGTCTCACGGTCAAGAGGACAACAGGGACTGAGTTACGTTCAAAGGGAATAGGAAAGAGAAGGCAGTGTTTTACTCCTTCAATCAGCGCATAGAGGAGTGATGTGTGAACCCAAAATTCTGATTCAATAATGCAAGCAAAGAGAAAGGAACCAAATAATGATAATGCAGCCTTTGCCCTCATTGGGCGCTGGGTGAAGTGGCCGCCCTTGGGCCAATAAGATCTCATGCAAGGAGATCTCTCTCTATCTATTGGGTGAAAGGGGTGGTTTGCTTGGGATACTATTACAAGTAGTCTGAATTCTTTACTCCACACCATGCGTATGACACGAGATAAAAATTTGGATAAAGGTTGTCATGGGTTTCTCTTTGACCAATAAAGATTAGGTATGCAGGAAGATTTTACTTGAGTAATTGGTGATGAGACTTAATGAATATAGAGCTGGACATAATTTTTCTAAGACTTGGGCTGTCTTATATTTTTTGTTTTTTCATTTTACAACTTTTGTTTGTTGAATATTTTTTCCCTGGTTGGAGATTTTGGATTATCAAGAATTAAACGCAATACCCTTGTATCTGGGGGTGTGCGAGGAACCCTTCCATGGATGGCACCGGAGCTGTTGAATGGTAGTAGCAACCGGGTTTCTGAAAAGGTAACTGGGACCATTCATATGAAGTTTAGCAATATAGAGGAATCAATGAATCTTTTGGCAGGCATTTAGCTAGTGGAATGACTTTGACAGGTTGACGTTTTCTCATTTGGCATCTCAATGTGGGAGTTATTGACAGGGGAAGAACCTTATGCAGATATGCATTGTGGTGCCATTATTGGTAAGATTATGTCCACAATATTGTACCTTAAGTAAAGATAAAATCTTCCATCAAAGAGAAGAAATTTTTAAAACAAAGAGAATTGAAATCTTAGGGTCTGTTTGAATTCTGTTTTCAAAAACAGTTTTTTTGATTTTTAGAACAATAAAAAAACAAAAAAACCTATTTGATAAGGTCTGTTTTGTAAAAATAGTTCTAAAAATTTTAACTACTTTTTAGTTTTTATAATCAAATTTAGATAACATATCTGAGTCGTTTTTATTTTGTGTTTTGATTTTTAACTTACAAAACAAGAAAAACACATAAAACACATATTTTATTAACTATTCTACAAAATAATTTTAAGAGCAAAAAAAACTAGAACACAATCCAATAGGCCCTTATCGTTGGACGTGGTATTATATTCTGCTTTATTTTTTCTTAGCTGGGACTGATAACTGTAATGGATATGAATGTGGAGGTTTTCACTTCTTTCTTAAGCTAGCTGGTGTTTGGTCTCTTTAAATTGTACCTTAAAACATTTTTAGCTTTAATGGAGTTTTGAATTGTTGGTCTTAGCTTTAATGGTTCTCAAAACATTTTTAGGTTTAAGGACAAAACAGAACAAAGAAGCTGTTCCAAAATGCAAGTAGTCATGTTGCTGAATTTCTAATCAAGGGTGTATTGTTTATGGCTTTATGGGTTACATATTAAGGATTGATTTTGGCACCAATTTTGAATTGGTTGTGAAAACTGGCAAAAAGGAAAAAGAATTTGGATGTGAAAGATGAAGATAAAGCTTTAAAGAAAGCATTAGGATCTCCCTAAATTCTTTCTAGCATAAGGATCTTACATTTATAAGTAACAATCGAAGAAATATGGTATTGTATGATTGAACTAAAGCGGTAAGAGATAATTATGAATTTTTCTTTGTTAGTCCTACATTTGTTTATTCTTTCTTGTAAAAGCTGAGGTTGGGATCATGGTATAGTTGTCTAGATCTATCAACTTTTGTACTTGGTGGGTGCATGATCGAACATTTTGTCAAAGAAAAGGTGTCTTTTAGCGTATATATACAGACCATAGTGCTTGTAAACATGTTTTGATTGATGTGAGCATCCTTTCTCTCCCTCTCCTTTTTTGGAGATGAGAATTTAATAAGACTGACATTAATGTTTAAAAAATCTTTCCAAGATCCAACTTGGGTGTTTCTAATAAATTATAATCCATGTTATTTTGTTTCATATATTGATTAAAGTATTTTTAAAAGTAATTTAAAAATGCGCAATATGAGTTTAATGAACAATAAACTTAATCTGGTCCTTGAAGAAAGCTTAATATGCATTCAATTCATAAATGAAAAACATTTATAATTAGGTTCTGGAATTGTAATTTTAGATTCAGCAATTAATTATCTAACAAGCTTAAAAAATACTTTATTAAATAAGAGGGAATATTAAGTTCTTGAGTGAAATAAGTTCCACATGACCAAGAAAAATAACACAATCAGAACAATAATAATACATTGAGTTGATGATTGAAAATAAAAGCAATGGAAGTTCCACACATATTTATCAAAGTGATAATTCAAAATAATATAATGCGAACAATAATAATATTATGAAGAACAAATTTTCTTCAATAAAGATTAGCTATTTCTATCCTCGCTTCTCCACCCAGTTTTTGCTTAAGGCATTTCTATTCTCTCTATTTTTTTTTAAAGATAATTAAGTTGTCATCCAAATGATTCATTGGATTATCATTCTAAGTTACTTCGTTCTCAATTTTCTCAAAAACTCTTGTAGTCATACATAAATTATTTTCAATTTTAAACCATAAATCATACTAAGTCACATTAACAAACATATTTGAAAAAATGTTGCTAGCAATAATTGAAATTCAATTTAAAATACATCATTCTTTTTTCTTTTTCTTTTTTAAATTCACACCCTCATTCATATCAAGTTTCAAACATTAATTCATACTAGATTTTTACTAAAACAGGGACTAAATGACCCATTAGGATGCATTAACATAGATTGAAGAAATTATTATGCATTAACATATCCCAAACAGACTATTCTTTTTTCTTTTATATATGAATATAATATAACCCATTAGGATGCATTCCACTGCAGCAACTATCATGAAGCATCTGGTTATGAATGAAGGCACTTTCAATTTTAACTGTTCTTTTTGCGTGATTTTAAGCAGAGCTTGCAAAGGTGGATGTTGGCCACCACCCAATTCTCAACACTCACCAGCATTAAAATCACTCTCAATCGAGACAAGATTTCATTAAACCCTTGCATAGTTGTGTAAATTTAGAATAGTGAAATTGTGTGGATTAATAAAAGACTAAACTTTTACAAACCCTCATTTTAATGAAACTCAAAGAAACAAAATCTATAACCTAGTAATTCAAGAATCAATTTTGTACAAAACAACACTCTAACCAGGATTCTTGATTCAAACGTATGCAGCTTCTCTATCAACCTTTGGACATACTTTTTTTTCCTCACGTATCCATTTTTTCTTCAAAGATTTCCAACCGCTCTCAAAATTCTCACTAACCTTCATCGCAATTCTATGAATCTCACTCCTCGAAGGGTATAGCAATGCATAAGAGAATACAAGCCTCATATCATCTGCAAATTCTTCAGGTCTGTCATACAAACAATTGTTCAACTTGCACTCAATATCCTTCAAACCTGTTGGCTTGGATACAACCTTTGGGTTATCAGGAAACTCCAAGAATTTAACATCAAGAGGTTGTTTGAAAGCCCAACCATCTCTTCCTACCACCAACCTCTTCAAGATCACCCAACATTGCATCCTTTTGTATCTGTCCATGTTATCTGCCCTTTGATTATTCTCTTTCTTGCACTCTGCACCATCCTTCTTCCACTCACAACCTTGGGAAACAGTTCTTGACATTCTTCTGGAGTTTTCTTTGATGAAAGATTTTGTTGGTGGGTGTTCAGTTGTTCTACTCATTTTCATTGGTGGAGAAATTTCAGAAGCCTCGTTTCTCATTTTCTTGTAACGAAAATCAGCGATCTCCAATTGTTGGCACTCTTCTTGGACTATTCTTGAACGTTTTGCACCATCCCTATGAAGCTTAATCACAAGTGACTTTTGGAGTTCTGCCATTGCAGAGAGTTTGAGTAGAAAAAACAAGAAAAAAGAAAACAATCAGTTTTGGTCGTGTATAGTTTTGTTGTTGAGGCCTGAGGGTGTCTTTTATGGTATTGGTGGAGGGGGCCTCGTATCTTAAGGGTGTGCATGACAACCTTCTCGGAATCAATTCTTTTTTAATTTCTGTTTCCAGGAACTCGTTTGGTAAAACCGATTTATTTTTTTGTTACCGGGATGAACCGGTTTAATTTTTGTGCTGGGGAACAGAAAAAAGAATCAAAAAATTTCTGCTTTTTTGTTCCCAGGCACAAAATGAGAAACACTTATCTCTCTCAATCACTTTCTACCTCTACCATCATCACCACCACCACCATCATCCCGACACGACTGCCGCCACCATCGTCGCCGCCGCCATCGTACCTCTAGTGCCGTCGTCACCACCCTTCACCACCACGATGCCACCGCCACCATTGCCACCACCTCCACCGATCACTATCACCATCACCACCACCACAACTACCGTCGTCGCCGCCACCACCACTATCACCGTCATCGTCACCACCACCATCACCGTCATCGTCACCACCACTACTGCCATCAACCACCACCACCATCATCGCAACCATTGCCGTCACCGCCACCATCGCCATCACACGCCACTGCCACTACCCCCATCGCCACACTACCACCACCACGACGCCACCACTACCATCACTACCACTGTCACCAACCACCACTACCGTCACTGACGCCGCCATCAACCACCACCACCATCGTCACAGCCATTACTGTCACCACCGCCACCATCGCCACCATTACACTACCCTCTCCACTACCATCACCACGCCATCGCCACCACTACCACCACCACCACCACTGTCTCCTACCCCCACCGCCACCGCCGCACCCACTGTCACCACCACCACCACCACCACCATGCCACTGCTACTATTGTTGCCTCCACCAACCACCATACCCACCACTATTGTCGCAGCCACTGCTGTCACAACAATCACCACTATCTTCACCACGTCACTGCTACCACCACAATTACCACCGCTGCCACCACTGTCGCCACTATCATCATCACTGTCACCACCACTATCACAACTACCGCCATCAACCACCACCACCATCATCGCAACCACTGTCGTCACTGCCACCATCGCCATCACACGCCACTACCACCACCCTCATCGCCACCACTACCACCACCACGGCGCCCACTACCATCACCACCACTGTCGCAACCACTGTCACCATCACCACCACTATGCCACTGCTACAATTGTTGCCGCCACCAACCACCATACCCACCACCATTGTCGCAGCCACTGCCGTCATCTCCACCACTACCACCGTCATCGTCGCAGCCACTGCCGTCACAACCACTCCCACTATTTTCACCACGCCACTGCCACAACCACTACCGTACCGCCGCTGCCACCACCACCATGCCACCCGCCGCCACCACCATCACAACCACACCATATGGAAATGAAAGTGATGATTCGAAATTTTTTTATATTTAATAGAAATTATTTTTTATTATATTATTTGTTGTGTTATCAAACACAATTCTCATTCTCGGAATAAAAATAGAACATGTTATCAAACACTTTTTTTTCTCAGAAACTGTTCAAGGCACAGAAATATAAAAGAATTGTTTCTTTTCAGAAACAGTGCTAGGGAACAGAATGGTTGTCATGCACACCCTAAGCAACCAAGAATCAGAGTTCCCAGATTTATGTTTCTCAAATTTTCATTATAATTTTTTTGTTTCTAAAATTTTTACAATTTAATTAAGCTTTCACTTAGATATTTATTAATTATAAAATTATATCTAAGCTTTTAAAATCTCTACATCACTTCGATAGTTATAAACATCACTTTACATTTTTTAAAATGTTAAAAGTGTAAAATTGTAGGGGTGTTTTGGATTAGGATTTTCAAAGATTTTTTTAAGATAAAAAATCTTATAGATTTTAAAAATCTATTTAGAATTGGACGGACTTTAAAGACTTTTTTAAAAGACATTTTTTACAATCAAGATTTTATAAGATTGGATTTTAAAGGATTTTAATAGAATTTATAAGATTTGAAAGGACAATATGAATTTGTAAGATTTTAAAAAACCATATGAATTTTAACAAAGATTCAAAATTACAAGAGTCAATACAAAAAATAACAAAGAAATGCAATGATATTAATATAAAAAACTAAAACCTAATATAATTTTCTCAATCAGTAAAATATAATATAATTTTTAACAAACATCTTTTAAAATCCTAATTGAATACCAATGGATTTTTTTGTCCAAAAATAATCCATTAAAATCCTTTGAAATCCCAATCCAATACACCCCCGTAGTTAGGGGTGTTCATCAACCGATCCAAACTGATTCAAACCGCAGTGACCGAACCGATAAACCGAAAATCGAAAAATCTAAAACTGAAAAAAAAAATCGCTAGTTTTAATTGGATTGGATCGGTTTACGGATTAGTTGATGAAAATCGATACAATCCAATATATTAATTCCCCTCTATCTACTTGGGTCTTTTCTCAATCATAGCTCAAAAATTTCTAAACTCAAGATTAATTAACCCATAAACTAAACCCAAGAAAAAACCTAGTCACATCTCATAATTTTTTTTTATCTAT